GAATACCCGGGGAGGGAGGGGTCGGTGGCCAGGGCAGGTAGGAAACCCACCGGGTGATACATGGCCTCTGCACTCTTGAGTGTTGACAGTAACCCAGGGTCACCCCTTCCTGCGACGTGCAGTCATGGGTCCGAGCTGATGACTGATGGAAATCCCCGAGTGGCCGTAAATTGTTCTACCAGGTGGCTCAGAGCCGAGGCAGGTCACACGGACCCAAAGGCAGGGCCTCCAGGCCACACGGGGTGTCTGCTTAAAGACTCGATTGAGCGCCCTCTTGAAGAAGGGTTTGGGGGATTTGATTGAACTCCTGCACCCAGACCCCTCCCGTAAGTGAGAGGTACAAGAACTGCATTCGGGCAGCCCTCCCGGCCAGCCCCCGGGCCACGCTCTTGGTGCCCCAAACTTGGCCCTGGTTTAGCCTGTGGCCAACTGCATCCTTGCCCTGGCCTTCCCCTCCCTGTTTTTCAGGACTTCCAAAAGTGACTTCTTGGGCAACCTCTATTGGTCCCCTCTCGCCCTGCGAGAGCTCTGTTTCTTTTCTTCCCACATGAATAAATCCCATTCTCTTGCACTCAAAATACTACTACTAATAACAACCAATAATAAATTTTTTTTAGATTCTATTGCTCCTACAGCAACATTCTCTCAATTGTTTAATCTCACTGTCCCCAGGAGACATTTGCCAGTATCTGGAGACCTTTTAGATTATTGTAACTCAGGGGGTGCTACTGGCATGTTGTGGGTAGAGGCCAGGACTCTGCTAACATCATACAGTTCACAGGACAGCCCCCGGCCACAAGGAATCATCTGACCCCAAATATCAGGACCTGCTGGGGAGAAACCCTGTTCAAGCAAGTCTGCGCTGTGTCTGGGTGACATCCTGGCATTGGAAAAATCCTTCTGTGATCAGAAGGGTGATGTGGGGTCGGGAGGCTTGCACCAATGTTCTGTCTCCCTTAAGTTTTATGGGCCAGAAGCCCAGGGCAGAGAGGTAATTTAGGGAATGACAGCTGCCTCCAGGTCTGTGGGGTGGGTAGCCAGAATCTGAGAACCCTGTGGCTCACACCCAGGGCTCTGCCTTTCCTTCTGCTTCTGCAGCTATGGAAATGGGTCAAAGGTCAACTCCAAAGACAGGGAGGAGGCCAAAATTTCCTCCTAGTACTCCTGGATCATGTTATAATCCCTGGAATCATCTAGACATTCTTAGAACATAGTAATTAGGACCAGAAGGGGCCCTACTCAGAGAGCATCTTCCTTTCCTTTCAAACCTCGCTTTTGAAGCCACTGTGACAGTCAGTTCTCTTGGGGGATCTTGGCAGGAATGATTACCTCTGAGAATTCCCTGAGGCCTATTTTTAATCCTGGGCCCCAATCTGCTTCTATCCCCAGTATGCCTCCCAACTACCTCCCACCACCGTGTAAGTAAAATGTGCAAATCCGTTCATCCTTCTCTGGAACCAGAGTTGGAAGACAAGATGGTTACCAAAGTGTCACATGGTGCTGCCACTTGTCCAGCTTGGATGACGCCTCTTCTCAGTGCAGAGACTTTCAGGAGCACCTCTGGGCCAGGGATGGAGTCCTTCAAGGACAGATCCCTTAAGTTTGGAATCCCAAAGGATGGGGCCCAAGCGATGCAGTTTCTGAAGGAGGGACTTCCTATGGCTAGCGTCCCCCAAGGAGGGAGCCCGTCCTCAGGGATGGAGTCCCCCTGCATGGAGTCCCGGAGGATAGAATCCCCAAGGTTGGAGCCCCAGTGACGGAATGCCCAAACATAGAGTCCCCTAAGAATCGAGTTCCCCAAGGACACCACCCATTCACCCTCCCCTCTGCCTGGCAAGACTCTAGGGCTGGGGTTTGGGTCTGCAGGCTGGGTTCAAATCCCAGCTCTGCCACTTGTTCTGAGTGACTTTAGGTGAGTAATACAATGTCTGAGCTGCAGTTCCTCACAGGCAAAGTGGGAAGGAGTCTTCCCGGGGCTGAAGTAACGCCTCGAAGCCTCTGGCACGTGGCTGGCATGGTTTACACACTGAAGGGCCCACGGCGGCCAAGATCATGAGCTGGGCCCCCCCACGGCACCCTGCCAGTTCTTCAGACCCAGCTTCAATGCTGCCTTCTTCCCGAAACCTTCCTTGATCCATCCCCCAGCCAGGCGCCATTCTTCCCTTGTTCTTGGAGACCTGGGAACCTGGTGTCCTCGCGCTCTTGTCACATTCTGACCGAGTGTCATTAGGTGTGTTCATGTCTTATCTCTGCAAACCGAGGGCTTGACTCCAGCCTCTACTGTGGTGCGTTGTTTTCTAGTCCTCTTCCTGATTCAGCTGGTTGATGAGATCGTGGACCTGAGGACCGGGTCCAAAATGGGCGGATCTGACTACTTCCCCTACCTCTTGTCCTCCTGGAGGAAACTCCCACGGGCTTCACGAGACCAGGAGAAAGCCTGTCTCACTGCTCTGAGTTCCTCAGGGCTTCATCCTCCGTCAAAGCATTTCTCAGGTCACACCAGAACCTCTCTCTTCCTCCAACCCTCAAGTTCAAGAGTCCCATTCCTTTTTTTTGTATCTCACTTGGTTTTTATAGCAATTCCGTGAGTGCAGAGATTTATCCCCGTTGTACTGATGAGGAAACCGAGACTTGGGCGGAAATGGTGGAATCGGAATTCTGTCTGACTCTGAAGCCGCTTTGTTTCTCTGCCTCCCAGGGAGGGCCTGGTGGTGGGCACTGGTGCGAAATGCAAAGGAGGTTATAGCTCCTCTTGTAGTACTGTCCTTCTCAAACGTTCCCAGATCTCAAACCCATTAGAATGTTCAGCTCCCGTCTTTGAAAAATGGCCTCCCCTTATCTCTGAGCGCAGCGGGTTCCTCTTCTTTGTCTCAAGCTTCTCTTGCTCGTGCTCCACAGAGACCGTCTTCATCCCAGATTCCTGCGATTCGTGCCTATAATTCCCCCTTAGCTTTCTGGAGGGGGCTGGAGCTACCCTCAGAGTCCAGGAGGAGGTAGAGTGTGGTTTTATCTACAGGCCCTTGGTCATGGAAAGTCACCCCTCGCTAGGGTGACGCACTTCTCCCCTTGTGACTGTGATGCCCTCCTCCCTCATCAGACCTTGCCATCCCTGTCCTCC